GAAAATTCGACGTTGTGGCAGATCGCAGTCTATTCATGATGAAATGTCAAAGCATACTGAGCATCTTTCTCTTTGACACCATGTCTGAAATCCCACGTGATCTGTCAAGTACTAATGCATGAAAATCCTAACCTCAAAAAAATCACCCTTTATATCAAAACATTTTTAAAACACTTTTAATCGACCAGTAATATAATAAAAATAATATAATATAATAATGCTTTGACAAATATGCATAATAGACAAAAACTACGGGCCGGCAACGCGGACCGGGCAAGCTAGTTTAATAAAATTTAAAAAAATGTAAAAATTGTGGCTTTTGCTTGGTTGCAGTTTCTTTATCTCACCCTGTAGTTGATTATCCAACGTTTCAAACTTGGCCGGAGGGGGCGTACAGAGGAGGTCCATTAAGATAAATACTGTATTTATCTAGCGGAGACATAAACCACTCAGTTAACAGAGCCATTAAAAGAGCAATGTTATACTTAACAGAGCATATAGAAAATTGTTATTTTTTAAAAAATTCCATTTTCTAATGTTTAGTCATCAAAGAATTTATTTTTTTTTATGATAAACAACAACTATAGCTTTAATTAAAAAAATTATGAAAAACTGTCTTGCTACGGGTACCCACTATCTTGTAGTTGCACAATATGTGACAGGACATTGGCATTAGATAAACTACGTTTTAAAACAATTCTTCCAATACAAAATGCATATCAGTGGAATGCTTATGAAGAGCACTATCCATTGACATCATAAAAAGTTTAGAATTTTCGGATAGTTTCCGAGGTATTTGACCATTTCTGTTGAAATCCTTTGAACAGGATAATTCCATTGGCCAATACGCTTTCCAGGATGTTTCTTCCGGGTCAACATACATATCAATGGAAAGCTTATGAAGAGCACTATCCATTGACATCATAAAAAGTTTAGAATTTTCGGATAGTTTCCGAGGTATTTGGCCAGTTCTGGTGAAATATTTTAAAATGCGTAATTGCATTGTAAGCTGTTCATTTAGTCAGATTTTTCCTGAACAATATGGTTATAAATGGAAATTGAATCAAATAAAAATGTTATTAGAGAAAAATTAAAAAAAAAAAAAAAAAAAAAAATATATATATATATATATATATATATATATAGATATATATATATATATATATATATATATAGATATATATATATATATATATATATATATATATATATATATATATATATATATATATATATATATATATATATATATATGTATATATATATATATATATATATATATATATATATATATATATATATATATATCAAACTGTCTTTGCGCCCAATGTATTTTTTATTGAGAGAGTTATATATATATATATATATATATATATATATATATATATATATATATATATATATATATATATATATATATATATATATATATATATAACTCTCTCAATAAAAAATACATTGGGCGCAAAGACAGTTTGATTTGATATATATATATATATATATATATATATATATATATATATATATATATATATATATATATATACATATATATATATATATATATATATATATATATATATATATCTATATATATATATATATATATATATATTTTTTTTATATATATATATATATATATATATATAACCACGACCACCTTGACGGTTAGACTACCGCACTATCCGAGTGGATGCTAGTTTATTCGCAATATGTAAACATTTTGCATGAAATCACAACAATTATAGCTCTCTCTCAATAAAAAATACATTGGGCGCAAAGACAGTTTGAGTTATGCACAAATATAGTCATTCCTATGTTAATAACATACCACGAATGTTTAATGTTAAGTAGCCAGTTCAGGAGAAATTATTTTAAATAAATATATTTTCACTAGACTGTATGCCTTCCAGGATCTTTCTTACGGTCCAACATACATTGATATATATGTTGACATCATAAGATATGTAGAAAGTTTGGATAGACTCAGAGGTATATGGTAATTTCTGGTCGAATCTTTTGAAAAGCGTGATTCCGTTGCAAACTGTACATTCAGTCAGATTTTGCTGGTCAACGTGGGTTTAAATGAAAAGTGAATCAGAGGATAATGTTTTTTGAAAAAAAAAAAAAAAAAAATAAATAAATAAATAAAAAAAGTTCTCAAAATAACATACCGATCGGGGACAATAATTTTATTCTCAGCTGTTTTGTGAAAGTTTCTAAGGGAGAATAAAAAGGTTTTTTCGGGATGTTTTATAATATTGTTAACAAATTTGAAATAAAACAATAAAAAAGCAGCTAAGTTCGGCCGGCCCAACTTTTAAGCCCTCCATCATTTAGAACGAACGTGGACCTGCAAAGAAAAATTTCCGCATACGCATACCCATTACGAACTTAAAAAAATCGTTCGAAAGATAGCGTAATTACCTGAGCGAAATCGGCATCAACTTCGAAGCTGGCCAATGTGTACACATTTCACATAATAAACTTGATAGATTTTTAATTAACTAGCAAGAATTAAACTATACATATAAATGTGTGCACCATCATAACTTAATACATACATATGCATGTAACTCGCTCTTGAAGGATTGAATCGATGCTTTTTTAAGTTTCAGAGTAAACAACAAACCAAGTTTTTTTCTATTTAATTATACATTGTTTGATTCAGAGAACGAATTTAGAACGCGATGTTGCCGTAGAGTAATGGTCGAATTGGTTAAGGGCTACTGCTGGAGCGTGATGGGTTAGGAGTTCGATTCCCGGTGGCGACGTCTATTGTTCAAAGTATTTCACCAGAAATGGTCAAATACCTCGGAAACTATCCGAAAATTCTAAACTTTTTATGTTGTCAATGGATAGTGCTCTTCATAAGCTTTCCATTGATATGCATGTTGATCCGGAAGAAAGATCCTTGAAAGCGTATTGGCCAATGGAATTATCCTGTTCAAAGGATTTCACCAGAAATGGTCAAATACCTCAGAAACTATCCGAAAATTCTAAACATTGTTTGATTTAGAGAACGAATTTAGAACGCGATGTTGCCGTAGAGTAATGGTCGAATTGGTTAAGGGCTACTGCTGGGGCGTGATGGGTTAGGAGTTCGATTCCCGGTGGCGACGTCTATTGTTCAAAGTATTTCACCAGAAATGGTCAAATACCTCGGAAACTATCCGAAAATTCTAAACTTTTTATGATGTCAATGGATAGTGCTCTTCATAAGCTTTCCATTGATATGTATGTTGACCCGGAAGAAAGATCCTGTAAGGCGTTGTGGGTTGAAAGTATGTCCTGCCACATACGATTGTGTTACAAGTTAATGGATGGTTGTAACTTTGCAGTCTTTGTAACAATAATTTATGATGTGTAGATATGGCTATTTTTGGCCTTTTTATACAAAAAATTAATACAAATTAATATTTTTAAGGAAAAACTTTATTTTTGGGCTCTGTTAACGTTAACAGTGCGCTGTTATTTTCTATGTTAAGTTAATTAGGAAATTGTCTTAACAGACCTGTACGATCATGTCGTCGGAGTTGATGACATATGTGTAAGGTTAAACACCTATCTCGCGGAGCTTGCCGCCTACTTCCACGTGAGGAATATAAAAATATCCCACAATTTATTTTACCACATGATCTGCATAGAGGACAACAGTGCTGAATGTACAGGTCGAGAGAAATGAAATACACACCACGAGCTACCCCACGATCCTAGGGGTCACATTCGACCGCATATTCAAATCATCTGCGCAAGCCACAGCTATCTGCGATACGTGCTGTGTGGTCTTGTTGATGCCACGTGTTCCGCGAGCCAAGCTTTTGCATTGTGGGCAAAAAAGTTGGTCCAATAATGTCACTATCCCATAAAACGCAATTTTGAAACATAACATTATTAAATTAACTGAAACCTTTGGGAATGGGAATGACACCCTTTGACATTGAAATTAAAACTTTTGCAACGGAAATAAAAACTTTTGCAATTAAAACGAAAACTTTTCTAATTAAAATTACACATTTACAATGATGATTTATATGTAAACTCGACGTAGCCACATTTCTAATATATTTGCGTATCCCACAGATCAACGAATGCGAACCACATTATTTGTCCGATATACGCTTCCAAAAAGCAATGAACGACTGGTACTAGGGGATTAAATTGCCATCCCGAGTTGATGCATTCCTTCCTTGGTAATTACAAGAAGAAATCGTAGAAAAAAAAGCCGAGTACATTTCCCAAGTTCTTACACTTTCGATAGCTACACATATAGTTTCCAAAATCAAAAAAATAGGACGCTTAGTTCCGCACGGAAGCCAGGAAAGAATCATAACTACAATACCCGCAATCACAAAGCAACTGATTCCTTTCATCTGCTGCCGATCATCAACATAAGATTCCGTCAATAGGGTAGAGGGAAGGAAAATTGATATTTGTTGATTTAGTAAATAACAAATCTTAATATGAATGACAAATCTATCATTTTTTTTTACTTTCCGATTCAATTACTTACAGCTCTAAGGATTCTGCTAATTTTATTACAAAACTCAGCAAATATCCAATGGATTCGGATAATTTTGTAATTGAAACTTTTTTGTGGTTGGTTGACAGAAACATAATTTTAATTATTGTTGGATTTTTTTCAGATTACTGTCTTTTTGTAAATAGTTTTTTTTTTTTTTTTAATTAATGTTTAAATTAAATTTTTAATGCATAAACTTCCTTAATACAGTGTTGAAGCAAAAAATCGTTTGCTTAAATGTGTAAAAACCTGAAACTGTAACAAAATTTGACTAGGGTGAAAAATGCACCTAAACTTTTTTTCTTTTGAACATTAAAAACAACTTGAACAAAATATTATTTTCTTTATAATCGGTCAAATTATCAATATGTGTAATAAATGTAGTAGATCGGTGCTAATATGTACAAAATTGAGGTGGAGTAGGGTATTATATATTGGGCACCCATTAATGATGTATTATATTTTTTTTTTAATTTAGCAACCAGACTGCGCCAAAGGAAGTGTAGCACCTATGTGTGATAGAAGCAACATTTTATATCAACCTGCGGAGTCATCGCTGTTCCACGAAAACCACTTAAAAACATCGCCTGGACACCATTCACTTATTTGCATGCCAAAAAAACATATTCAATCTTTCCAAAATTGTCCAAAAGCCTTTCAAGAAGAGAAGCATAATGCGGAAAAGTTGGTAGAGTGTTTGAACCAAAAAATTAATGTATTTCAATTCGATACATTGACTCCTAATAAAAATTCAGTAGATTTAATAAAATCCAACATGAAGAATGAAATTTCCCTTGGTAAGATAATATATTATTTAGATTAAAACATAAATTGAAGATCATTATATATTTGATTTGAAATTTCAAAATTCTTCTTTTTAAGTCTATTTTAAACATATTTAATACCAAATATTTATTCCCTTTCATGGTGGAACCTATCACATAGAATGACAAAGATACTCTGTTTATTAATTTTTAGTTCTAACGGTTATTACACTGTGCAATAAAATTTGTGTTTTTTTTTTTTTAATAAAGTAAACCTACGAATATTATGACAGTTAAACTAAAATAGAACAGTGTTTGGCTTGCTTGTTTGGGATACCATAGTATTTTGTTGTTGCAAAATCGTCAGGCAAAATCCCATTATTGTTGTTTTTATAAAAACAACGTTTGTTTATGAGTGGAGAACGATGGTAATGTTTACCAGGGGGTAAGGCAAGGAATACCTAGGTTTCGGAAAGAGCCACCAATCCTCATCAGTTCCCTTGTTTCTTGTCTGGGATATTCTCCCCAGAAGTTATTTTAAAAAATAACTTCTATGACAAAAAACATTTTTTTACCCAAGTGACGAGATCGTAAGCTCAATAGAAGAGGAACAAAAGAATTACATAAAACTAAAATTCTTTTGGAAAATCTTCTAAATCTTACAACCGCACTTATAAACATTTACATCTTTCTCCACCCATTATGCTTTCGTTCAACCTGAACGAAGTAACATAACCATGTAAGTTTGTTTTGTCTGTTACAACAAAAACCCCTTCGTCGACCGTGCCTGTGTCTATTAATAGAACAGTGTTTGGCTTGCTTGTTTGGGATACCATAGTATTTTGTTGTTGCAAAATCGTCAGGCAAAATCCCATTATTGTTGTTTTTATAAAAACAACGTTTGTTTATGAGTGGAGAACGATGGTAATGTTTACCAGGGGGTAAGGCAGGGAATACCTAGGTTTCGGAAAGAGCCACCAATCCTCATCAGTTCCCTTGTTTCTTGTCTGGGATATTCTCCCCAGAAGTTATTTTAAAAAATAACTTCTATGACAAAAAACATTTTTTTACCCAAGTGACGAGATCGTAAGCTCAATAGAATAGGAACAAAAGAATTACATAAAACTAAAATTCTTTTGGAAAATCTTCTAAATCTTACAACCGCACTTATAAACAATTACATCTTTCTCCACTTGTTATGCTTTCGTTCAACCTGAACGAAATAACATAACCATGTAAGTTTGTTTTGTCTGTTACAACAAAAACCCCTTCGTCGACCGTGCCTGTGTTAATAGAACAGTGTTTGGCTTGCTTGTTTGGGATACCATAGTATTTTGTTGTTGCAAAATCGTCAGGCAAAATCCCATTATTGTTGTTTTTATAAAAACAACGTTTGTTTATGAGTGGAGAACGATGGTAATGTTTACCAGGGGGGTAAACTAAAATTATAATACACGAGTACCGTGGTTTCGAAAGTTAATTTCGCAAAGTAACGTAATTAGTTGGAGTTTGCCTTTCCAAAATTGTTTGAAATATTTGGATAATGATTCGGTGAAATCTGTGTATTTTATACATATTTCTGATAACGACACATGAAATGATACGATGCAAGTGTATCTCAATAGCGTTGAAATAAGTACTATTTTCTAAGCCACCAGAACCAAAGATGCAAACCGCGACAAGCGGTTTTCCATCAGCAAAATATTAATTTATGCGAACGATTAAAAGTTACTCTTGAAAAAGAACTTGTTAAGTTATTGGCTCACTAATTGGTGTTATGCTAACGCAGTTTGAAAAACTACCTTTATTTAGATCAGTTTCAGTTTAAAAATATTGAGGCATTTTGATATATTAAAGTATTAGATTATTATATTATTATCCTAACATGCACTTTAATTACTCATCGATTTTTATGTTAATAAAGTCAAATTATTCAATGAATTCGATTAGCCATACCTTATGGAACTTTTTTATCGGTCTTGTAAAATCCGTTTAGAATAAGAAAACCGTAACATAAAACTTTATTTTACAATAACAAAATTTTTAGGTGTTTATTAATATCCATATTGTAAAGTAATTGGGAAGTAGGGTCGGTATAAGCAGGTTTTTTTTTGAAGATGTGTACTGAGTGTAAGAACTGTAAATTTGATGTTGGGTGTACGGATGGAGCTGAAATCTTGTATGATTTGATTTGTGCTTAAACATTTATCATACGTTTTATTTAACATTGTTATAATTTGACGTAGCGTACACAAATATTCGACTCCACTATGGTATAATGTTTTGTACTCCCGTGCTACCCAAATACATGGACCCGGCGTATTTGGATAATACGTGCCTCTACCAACTAATGGCGTTGTATAAATTGATTATACTTAAAAATTCACCCAATTGCTATATTTTGTCTTGGAACCTAAGTCAACCTATAAAATTCGTTTCAAAACATTTGGAGTAGATTAAGCAGTGTCCGTCCGTCCATGTGGAGCACACGATAATTCTCAAGAAGAATATCCTATTTCGTCCAAACGTAGTACATTGGAATATTATCCCTAAACATAAATCGATTTTGGAAAGGGCAATATTGTTCCACTGTTTGGTATATCCCCCACAAAAGGTATACATTTCCAAAGAAAGTAATTTCAAAACATTTGAAGTAGATTAAGCAGTGTCCGTCCGTCCATGTGGTGCACACGATAACTCTCAAAGATAATATCCTATTTCGTCCAAACTTAGTACATTGGAATATTATCCCTAAACATAGATCGATTTTGGAAAGGGCAATATTGTTCCACTGTTTGGTATATGCCCCACAAAAGGTATACATTTTCAAAGAAAGTAATGTACCTCAAATAAGGGGAAAGACTCATCCAATTTTGTTCAAACATTAGGAAATATCAGTGCTATTCCAGGTGCGGGAATATATATCATATATCAACCCTAGTACCTTCTCCACAATAATCATAACTATTATAAACTATGAAATAAGAGATCGACTGTCTTTCAATTCCGGTCATCCCAATATTTCTACCAGTGGAAGATATAGCGGAACAGTCCCACTCTTACTTGTACCTTCCCCACAAAGGCCCAACATTTTGAATAATCGTAATTCTTATTATATGCGAAAATATTTCTTCCAATATTTCTTCATTAAAATTTGAACATTGCAATATATGTCAGCAGATTGGTACGTCATTTGATAGGGCCTAAACGTGCCTCATTTAAAAACAACGGTATTACACCCTAGGTCTCTTTGGACAAAATCCGTTTCAAACTTAGATCGAGTTTGAAGATGGCCAATATCGGTCCATTCCATCATATACCTCCCCACAAGTAATTGAAATTTTGAATAATTATAACTCCCATAGACGCGAAACAAGCTTTAGATTTCATTCAAATTTCACACAACCCAACCTTTTTGATAACACAAGTTCTTGTGTGAAGATGAGATACATCGACCAAACCCTTCTGGTACCTCCCCACAAAGGGGTAACAATTTTAAATATTATCTCTCTCATAACTTTCAAAACAAATCAGGAATTCTATTTGATATTGGTATATCTAAATATTTATCTTAACCAGAGATCTGATGTGAATATTAACTTTTCGGCCAACTCCTTTCAATAATACATTCCTCACAAAAGGTTAAAAATTTCATCCGTCATTGCAAAAATAGAAAAAATAGGGTCAATAGTTCAAATAGTCATAAAGCAAATAAAAAATTATATAGGATGTTGTTACGTAGAAGCTTGACATTTTGCAGGAACATGTATTTTATTTTCATGTATCGGAATCAATGAAAAACGAATTTTGAGTTTTTTATAGGTTATGCTTTTGAGCATTTCTGATAACGATATGTTGCCATGTATTTTTCTTTGTAAAATATGACCATATCTCACAGTTATCTCAATACTCAAATGCTCTATTAAAGGTCTTTTCTTACTCTGTATACCAAATTCAATACCTTTAGTACTCCTCGTATATGTAGTGCTTTTCGTACGCTATACAGCACTATATATTAATAACTTCAGCTCTTTTCATACTCTCTACCTCAAATTTGGTACCATTTAGTACTTTTCGGCCACTTATTGTACGCACTTCCTAAATTTAAATAACTAACCATTTAGTATAGTTCTAACACTTGTACAAATTTCCAAACCACCTTCTTATATCAACCCTACTTTCTAAACTCGATTCTCATATCAAATCCCTTCTTAAAATTAGGAAATTACTGACTGCACTAATTTAATTACATACCAATTATGAATTTAGATACAATAATTTGAGAAGATTTCGGATACTTCACACAACAAACTTAAACATGCATTTAGCCAGCATTCCAGATCTGAATGACCTTAAAACCATTAAATTCACACGAAAGGATCTCATTGAGGCAAAATAATTGTAGGCAACGTTTAACACAAATACACAAGAAAAAATAAATGAACTAACAAACTCATTAAATAAATTCGTAATGGATGCAAAAACAAATAAATACAGAACACTTACGTAAAACGCAGCTTTCAGGAAGTAGTATCATTATTTCCAATTTGAATCTTTAATGTTACACTCACCAAAATTGGAATAATTAAGTTCTCAACTTCAGACTTCAGTGGTATTACAATAACAGATTTTACATATTACAATTACAGATTTTGAGCCATAGTTTTCAGCGTTTGATGTTGACAATTGAAACCAACCACTATAGTAGATAATTGCCTATATTGACAAAAATCACTATATTACGGTGTTTTTATTAAACATAATTATCAATCCAATGATCTTGGCAATTCGGAAATAATAACTGTTAGGTTTATTTTATTAAAGGAAAAATATTTTTCATTGCCAATAATGCCAGCCTATTCACATAGCTTGTATTAAGCCATAAACATATAAAAATGCATACAGTCATATGATGGCACACTTTATTGGCATTGAATTTTTGAAAACAAAATTATATAAAAAAGCAAATGAAGTTTTCGCGTAAAATTGATATAATCAAAATGGTCCTCAAAAACTGAATATTAATTTACATG